ACAGATCACGTGAACTGACTCATATTTACGAGGGTTGCAGTGTCCTGGGGTCATGTGATCCCCTTTTGCAACCTTCTGATAAGCAACGTCAATGGGGAAACCAGATTTACTTTTAACAAATGTGTCATTAACAATGGTAATGATTCACTTAGCGACTGTGGCAAGACAGGTCGTAAAATGGGGCATAACTCACTTAGTCATAGAAATTTTGAGCTCAATTGCGGTTGTAGGTCGAGGACTGCCTATATATGTTTCAAACTTTTCTGTCCCAATATTTGAAACTTTGGAATGAGAAAGCTGATATAGCAGGCTCAATAGCTTTGACTCTTTTCTACTTTGCACTGAATATCACTGCTAATCCTCACATCCACTTGCTCAGGGGTGTTAAACCAGTGGTGGGATTCAAAAGTTTTTACTACCGATTCTGTGGGCACGGCTTGTAAAATCTACAGTCAGAGGTAGTATTTTCCAGTTCTCCGAACTACTCAAAATTTCTGCTACCGGTTCTCCAGAACTGGTCAGAACCTGCTGAATACCACCTCTGTGTCAAACTCTATTTCATGGAGGGACACATCAGGGTTGTGTTTGACCTTGGAGGGCTGGGGTGGGCATGATCAGCTCAACATCATTCGTGTTGGGGGCATCTGTGTTGGCCCAAGAGCTCTGGCTGTGGAAATGGGCTTCTGAGCTCCATTTTTGGCTACGATGACCTCCAGCAACCATCTGCCAATGAAAATGGAGCTCACAGCCCTGCAGGCCAGTCCTTTGCTGTTTCCATGGGCCTGATCTAAGCATCCCGCAGGCTGGATCTGTCCCCCGAGTTTGACGCCCCTCCTCCATATGGATTAAAGATAACAAGTTCTAGAGATGTGCAGCCTCTTGGAAAACCCAAACCCAAGAAAAGTATTTGCAACCAATGTTTCTGTTCTTTGGCTTTCCAGTAAGTCCTAAATACTAAATACCTTAATGGTTTTTTTTGGTACAAACTTAAGAGAGCAACTTGCTCTTCACTTCATAAACAATGTTAGACATTTAGAAAAGGAAAAGACTGTATTGTGCTGGCTAGAATATTAACATAATTTTAATGTATTTTTTTTTTCTGAGAACCTAGAACACAGCGGGCAAGCAAGGCAATCTAGACAGAATCAAGATCTACTCCTTTTCTCTCAAAAAAAATTTTTCAAGGAACATGGTTTTGAACATATTTTCTTTATTTGACGAAGTCTCTTTGGGCCTTAATTTGGGAGTACTTCCTACCTAAGAATGGCAGGAAGCCAAAAGCCACCAAATTTCAGGCATTGTCATTGGAATGGAGATTATGGTTGTAAGAAAACAAAGCTTAGAACCCACATGTTAAATCTCAAAGAACTCACTCCTCTGTTAGAATATGATTGCCTGGAAGAGAAAAGGGCAATTTAATACATGACTGTCAATATTTCTTGCACATTTTTCAAAGAAATCATGGTTGCAATTTGTTGCACCCAACCATTTGTGGGAGGAAAAAATATTGTGTCAACCTAAGAGTAAGTGAATCCTCTTCTGATTACATCAAGTTGTACTCTAAAGCGAACACTATTAATTTCCTGGGAAGGCAAAAGTGCAGACTAATAAATGATCATGTTCAACTCTGCTGATCAATGAATCTGGAAGTGTGTCTGTATTTTCCTTTTAAAGAGTGCAGCACTCAAGAGAAATGACAGCACTCTTCGACCTCAGCCTAAATTTATTTGGCGAGACACTCAACAAACATAAGGATTAAACATCTTTGTTGCAGAAATGTGTTCCAAAATACTTCTGAGTAATTCTTGCCTATTCTTAGAATAAAATATTTGCAATAGAAAAGACCAGGCTCCAAGTTTATTTCCTCATTCTTTGGAAGGAAATAATAAGGAATATTTAAAAAAAGATGCATTAAATCTTGGAAAGCTTTAACAGGCCTACTTTCTATGTAAAAACAAGAAGAAGCTGAACATTGTGCTGTTGAATCGTCTTGATGGAATTTTACAGTTGGAAATTAAACGAAAACAAAGGATGGGAGCATATGCACCTCATAAACCTGGATTAACCATTTTTAATTTAGAATAATTAACTCAAGGCACAAATGACCAAGCTCAAATTATCCTACTTATGGGAAGAGTTAGGCCTCTGGAGAAGCCCCCAATGTTAGGAAAGGTAGAAGGAAAGAGAATAAGAGGACAACTAACTCAAGGTAGATAGACTTCAGTTTGAATGAAGTTGGGAACAGCATTGGAAGACCAGGCTATGGAAGGACTACCATGGACACCATCTATCCATATGATAGCTAACAATGACTTCATGGCACATAGTCATCAGCTCAGAACTGAAATTGTGTTGTATCTAGATTTTTTAAAAAAATGAAAATCCTTGATTGATCTTTTTTTATAAATCAAAGAACTGTCAGTTTCAGTCTTCATTCATTACTGAATTGTATGAGAAAGGTTGAAGGACGAATTATTTATAAAATGAAATGTATGCTTCCACTCAACATTTATGGATTTTGTTGTTACTGTTTTTTTTTTTTTTAAGTAATAGCTGTGTGATATAAGGTGGACATTTGCTCCTGGGGAAGAAAGCTATGGCAAATCTAGACATCATACTAAAAAGCAGAGACATCACCCTACCAACAAAAGTGCATGTAGTCAAGGCTATGGCTTTACCAGTTGCAATATATGGCTGTGAATGTTGGACCATAAAAAAATGAGGCCTTTGAACTATGGTGCTGGAAAAGACTCCTGCAAGTCCTTTGGACTGCAAGGCAATCAAATCAGTCAGTCCTAGATGAGATCAACCCTGACTGTTCTTTAGAAGGCCAGATCCTGAAGATGAAACCCAAATACTTTAGCCACCTAATGAGAAGGAAGAACTTCCTGAAGAACAGCCTAATGCTGGGAACGACTGAGGGCAAAAGAAGAACAGGATAACAGAGAATGGGGGGGGCTGGATGGAGTCACTGAAGCAGTACAAGTATGAGCTTAAATGGACTCCAGAAGATAGTAGAGGACAGGAAGGCCTGGAGGAATGTTGTCCATGGGTTCGCAATGGATTGGACATGATTTTGCAACTAACAACAATAAATAAGGTCATCTCCAAGTATTTGCTACTTCACATGGGAGAGAAGCTGATATTGTTGTCACTAGCAACTTTTCTTCCACATCAAAAAGCAAGGGAAAATGGGAAGAAATTTCTTCTTGCTAATATTCTTAACAACACAGCAGGAAAATGTTTCAAAAATACTCCGTCTGTTCTTGTTTCTGCCTTTGCATCCATTCCACCCGCAGATGATTAACTAAACAAGATTTCTTTTTAGATAAAAAGATACATGGGTTATACAGTGCACAGTGTGGTATTGAAAAATATGTATGAAACGCTCTTTTTTTTTTAAGTGACTAATGATATACAGACCAAATACTGCTAAGATCTTAATTGCATGGATAATTTATACACAATGAGTACAGCAGGTTTTTTGGTTCTTATAAAATGTATTACAGTATGTAACAATGTAATATTTTAAGAAATGTAATGGCTCTTATCTCACAAATAGAAAGTGATTAAGTGTTAATCAGTTTTTACTTTTGTTTGCTTTTGTGCCTTCAAGTCACTGTTGACTTATGGCAAGTGCCGGGACTAGTTCCTGCAGTTTTCTTGGCAAGATTTCAGAAGTGGTTTGCCATTGTAAGACACAAGGCTGTAAAACATTATGAATTGGTATATTAGTCTTCTAAGAATGATTGGTCAAAGATCACCCAGCTGGCTTTGTGCCTAAGATGGCACTAATATTCACAGGCTGATAGCCTTAACCGCTACTCCTAACTGGTTCTCCATGTTAATCAGTTACAAAACAGAAATAGATAAACTGGGGATTTTGCATATTTAATTATATCAAGTATACTAATCAATAGCCCGTTTCTCCATTCTGATATAGCAGTCAAAAATTATGAATGACAGCAGATACACGAAGAATATTCACTTTCCAATTCAATTAAATGACAATAATGCAAAGTCTCCTGCCATAAACATGTGTAAGATGTTCAAAATAGTACTATTAGTATTATTGGTAGACATAGTCATGTCTCATCAAAATGAGAAGTTTCTAAATGCATTGTGTCTTAAGCTTTGGAAAAGTTAGCCCCTACTTCAGCAGATGCTTAAACTGGCTACCTTGACATGTCAATAATGAAATTAGAGGAAAACAAAATACTGTATACAAAACACAGACAGCAAATAGCTTTCCTATTTTTGAAACAATTATTTAAATAATACTACTGATAGTCTTACATTGGGAAGCTAAGTCAATATAGCATGAGTATTTACAAACTCTTTCTTTTTTCCACAGAATTTTATGGACCAGGTGTTTCCGGTATTTTAAAAAAACACTTCAACAATGATGTTGGAGTATTTCCCCACTAAGGTTTGAATATTATGATTTCTGATATTATATACAGATGTTTTAGACTTTGAACAATTTATTGATACTGGAAACACAATATCAGGCAACAGCATCTTGATTTAAAACATCATCGTCATCATTAATAAGACTTATATGATAACCAAAGTGAAAAGACTAAAAAGACTCAAGATAGATAGCTTGTATTAAAACTCAGTAAAAATGAACCATCAAAAAGCAAAAAAAATAGGAAAAGATAAAGGTACTGCTCTACAGGAGAGTACCTATAATGTAATTTCACTTATATCTGATCAATCAACATGATTCACAAAACATATATTCCAAAATTTGGGTTTTCAGTGCCATTCTAAAACAAAAGAGGAATAGAATGGAGCTGGGTTTTTGCTAGATAACTGACACCTTAAAATGCCAAGATAAAATAATATTTTTTGTTAAAGAAGAGTGGGTATTCTTGACTCCTAAATTCTACATAATCTTAAAATGGCTCAGAGGAATATAAACCATAAGCAACATTGTGGTTCAATGATTCAGTAATAGGCTTTTTTCCAATTGTAGTTTATAGCTGGTTACTTACCGTCAGTTTGAGATTTGCTGAGGAATATTGTGCTGGCTCGTGGATGGTCTGAGGGGTTGAATTCCATGTTTAGATCTTGAAAAAAAAATGTGAGGAAAAAATGGAATATTAGGAGTGATTTATCAAGAGTACATTTAGTGTTTCATTGTAGAACTAACGCTAATCCATTGTAGAGACGAATTCATGCCTTCCTAGACCCCAAATTATTGCTTTGTACCCTCAGTTCTCCAATTCATTCCATTTAAAACAGAGATTGTAAACCAATTGGTTCCACAGACTCCTTTCAGAGTCTGCTGAAAACTACAGACCCCTTCATGGGAAAAATGCATCTATCTGCATAAAATAAAATACATTGATTATATTATAAAACAAATCTAACACAGTATGCCCAGCCTTTCCAGAAGAGACTGAAGCACCTCCCACTTCTGGATGCTCTGAACAGCTCATGGGAGAAACAAAAGGATTTTTCCCATCCAAGTTCTTAGATCTTCTGAAGTCTATCCCTGGATCTCCCAATGGTTCCTTAGCTAAGAACTCCTGATTTATAACAAGACTCTATTTCAGATATAATTGTTCACTGTAATAATAATAATTACTGTCCCTCTGCTTACACAGATTTAGCCTAATGTGGAAACTATTGATATAAGGACATCACCCTCTTCTGGCTTATACAGATTTAATTTTAGGAGATAGAATTAATGGTTGGCATTTAGCTCTGTTAAAGGAAGCCAACATAACACAATTAAGAATGCTGGATAAGGAAACCCCATATTCAAACCACAAATGAATTATGTAGCCAGTTGGATCACCATAATCCTTGTAAAAAAAAAAAGGATATATATTCCTTTATACCAAACTTCTTAAAGAAAAGACAAACGTACTAGAATAAACTTACAAAAGAATCTTCTCCTACTTGCCTGTAGTGTGTAAAAATAGCCTCTACCAAACTCTTAGAAATATTTCGTCAAGGCACACATGACTAGCTTTAAAAAAATCAAATAAATGGTTCCTCAAATTAGGAAATCTGTGGTCCTTATGCAAGACAGTTCTATTCCTGCTACTAACAGAAGAATATCAGGACAAAAACTAATTATTCCTCGTTTTTTTCTCTCATTTCCCACTCTTCATGCTCCTTATTCCTGCCCCTTCCAAAATTCTAGAATTCTTGAAAGTCTTTGATTTGAGTCAGGAAGCAACTTTGCAAGGAGAAGATTTGCCACAAGGGGGCTGATCATTTCCGTGAAATTTGAAAGCAAAGGCTGTGGATACTTTTCTGCTTAAGCATCTAATTACAGGATGAAGCCAGGAGGCGGTGATAGTCATTCTCAGAGCTGGCCCATCCTATGGTCAGATGTGAATAGTAGACAGAAACAAGAAGTAGAAAAACAGAGGAACAAAATCCTCTCATTTTCATTTCAAGTTGAAAAGGTTTCTCGAGAAACTGAATTATGACTCTCTCCAATCTAAGTTTTGCTGCCAACTGGAAGAAAGCATTAGATGGTATTGCTTACTCCTCTTAATCTCAGCTCTGCCTTCCATAGAAAATGCCATTGCTGCCAAACGTCAAAAAATATCCACAGCATTTAGTCCCTTTATTTGGGTATATGAGACAGAAATCTTCCCACTAGCATACAGATTTTCCCTATTACAACTTTATCATTAAGATGTGTGGACTTCCGTTCCTAGAATTTTGCTGGCTGGAGAGTTCTGGGAGTTGAAATCCACATATTTTAATTAGTCAAGATTGAGGAACACTGTTGTAGACCTTCATGCATAATCACACTCTCGTAGGCATACACAATCTAACACAGTCACATATAACATAAGAGAAGAGAGGAAACTTATTAAGATTGATGGCATAATCATTCAGATGTTTAGACTGGATTAGGGTTTTTATCCACCTATCTTATTAGTAAAAAACATACGAGTGGCTCAAAGAGCCATGGAAAGATACATGCTTGGCATTAAAAGACAAGGCAGAAAGACTTACACATGGATTAGAGGACAAATGAAAGTATACGATATCATCAAGAGAGGAAAAGAATTGAAATGGAAACGGGCTGGTCACATAGCAAGAAGAACTGATGGCAGGTGGACCACGGGAGTCATAAAATAGATCCGACTTGATAAAAAGCATCCACAAGAGACCCAAAACAAGATGGATTGATGACATTAGCAAGTATCACGGGCCCTATTGGCAAAAGAAAGCTCAGGACCATATTGGTTGGAAACATGCAGAAGAGGCCTTCCTCCTGCAAGCGGATAAACAATGGTGAAGAAGGAGAAGAAAGTGATTATGATCTTATGTTCACAATAATGTGAAGTCACAGCTGTTAGTTCATTAGCTGACAGAGAACTTTGTAAGCATTGAGTTCTTCCCAAGAACCTGGGATGCCATATATCCGTGTAGGATCCAAGTAGTGTGACCTTTTGCAATTGACAGATGTAAATTTTGTCATTGCACAGATTGCCCTGATTGCAAAGAGGAGCAATTAAAATGATGGTTTTATCCTAAAGACCTATAAGGCTGCTTTTTCCAATCAGAATTGATCTGTCTGAAATGTTCCTTCTAGGAGAAACAGGGACTTTCAATTTTCATTAGATTACAATATACAGGAATCATTTGGGGAAGGAATACTTCTGCCTCCTGAAAGCAGCGTTTGTTAATGCCTTCTAGAAGTTACGTTAATGGAAAATTATTCCCGAGAGTATTTGAGGGCTCTTCCAGCCATACGGGTCAGGAAGTTGATTGAACCTTTGAACATATTGTTAATGTATTGTAGATGAACCTCTTCTCAGTTGCTCCTCTCTGCCTTTCTCTTCTTGCTATGTATGCATATCTATTTTTTTATTCATTGTTAAATTACTTTAACAGTGTTTTCCATCCAGAATCAGCTTGACAAGATGGGTAGCAGTATAAACAGATAAATAAACCAAATAGAATCAGCCCATTAAGTGGCTTACGTGCTGCTCTGTTGTTTTAATTGTTGTTCTGTGTTTTATCTTTCTACTTGTGGTGTTCTAATGTTTGTATTATATGGTTTTATTGCTGTAAATCTTAGATATTCACATTGGTTAGCAAAATATAAGTGGAATAAATAAATAAATAACTAAATAAAAAAGATTCCTTTAGCTCATCAATACATAGGGAAACTCACAAAAACAATGAAGGCGAAGTATCCTAGCAACTAGCAGTTCTGAGGAATTACCTAGGTTTTCCTAGCTCTGCAAGAATAAATTTAATATTAGTTTAATTAAAAAAGAATAAACTATCCATCTATCTGTCTGTCTACTACTCTCACAAAATATACAGAAAGAGCTTTGAAAAATGACAGGAATATATATACTCATTTTTAGGAGAAACTTGCATTCGGCTCCTGTAACCATTGCTAATATTCTAAATTTGGACAGCAGGATGAGTGGTTGGTAGCAGGGAAGATTTAAGCTCTCAGGTATAGATAAAAATCAGTTACACAAACCTTTTAAGTTTATTCACATAAACTAATATATATAATTAATTTATATTTTTGAAATGTGGGGTAATTTTCCTATGTCTGAGTTGAGATCATGTTCTTGCTACATCAACCATATGCTACACAATCTTCTACGTCTACCATATTCCACAGTTTTTGTGCCGTGATTCAACTTCTTCTTGCTTCTATAGCCTTGGCATTATCCATTACCCAAAGCAACTTTGGACTGATGTAGTTGCCTTAACTGACAATAATAAAGGGATCTAGGTAGCATACCACTGTGTTATTCTAGGCAAAATGAGATATCTGTGGAAAAACAAGAATCTTTTTTTTTTGCTAGGAGATTTAGAGACCAAGAGTGCAGGCCAGATAACAATCTTGCTAACTATAAATACTTTTATGTTTAGTTTGAAAGTTCATCTTATCAATGAAACAGCTCTGCATCCCTAGCCTCAACTTAATATGCATGGCACAAAAACCTGTTCCTATTATGTTTTATACTAGAAAGAATCAATTTCATTTTTTTCAGGCAAGATACAAAATCCTGGATTTCTATAGTCCAACCAATATTAGCTATAAATACTGCTCTGTCTCCTTTGCAGCAATCAACAATCTATTCTTAAACCATATTTCCCAGGAGAAATAAACAAAGTACTTCAACGATTGTAGCTATTAAACCATTATTATGTACCTTGTTACAGAACATTCCTGACTAAATAAAGCTGGCAAGATCTCTACTTGGGAGTGCTTTATAAAATATTCCTTCCCTGAGTTTTCCTTCCTTAATGTCATTGTCACAATCATACCTGTTTGTCTCTCTCTGCACTAACGTCCATCCCATGTGTGTTTGCCCAGGAGGAAAAGACAAGACAAACACTCTTGTTCCAGTCACACATTTGAGAAGGGCACATTATGACCAACTCTGTGACCCTCATAAATACATGAGTTTTGGCAGAGAAATAAGATACTTGTACTACATAGAATACCATAGTTTTTATTCCTAACATCGCAATACTGATCTAAATAGTGCTTCCTATTAAATCTGATAGAAATTTAATAGAATAGCATTGCCCAATGAAAGAGTGACTTCCATTTTGCTGAAAATCTTCAACATCAGATTAGATCAGGGCTGTCAAACTCCCAATCCATGAGCCGCATGTGTCATGTGCTGGCCATGCCCACATCCAGTTTAGCAAAGGGGGAAAGCTACATCACATGACGACACTGTGATGACATGAGTCTGACACCCCTGGATTAGATGATTTTCTATCAGACATGATCAAATGGATTCTGTACTCTTCAGGGTTTAGATTAGGAGATTTTGACGGTCACTTCCAACTCTTATGCTTAATTATATAGGAAATGATATTTTATGAATCCATCTGATGAAACAGATTGAACATCTAGTGATATCATATAATCCTAAATAAGCCACAGATACATGGTACTATTTCTTTCCAGCACTGATTAGCTAAGTGTTGCCTCACAAACTTCCTTTGTTCCTGAAAAAAAAGAGGAAGAGAGAAGAAAAATAAAAATACACCATAGCTTAACAATAGACAAAAGTGTAAGAGAATTAGCTGCTTTCACAAACTCTAGAAA